ATATTTCCCAAAATTCGAAAAATCTACTACCCCGAAAAGTCGATAGATTTTCTACTTTTCGAAAGTAGATAACCAACTTTCCCGGAAAGTAGATATTTCCCAGTTTTTATGATACAAATTTCCTGCTTCTACGATAATCTACTTCGCAAAATTACGTAATATTTCAAAATTCGAAAAATCCTGAAAGTCGACAATCTACTTTCCCGGAAAGTAGAATTCATCTACTTTCAGAAAAGATAACTCAACTTCCGGAAAGTAGATATTTCCTGTTTTATGATACAAATTTCTGTTTTCTATGATAATCTACTTCGCAAAATTAGGTAATATTTCCAAATTCGAAAATCTACTTACCGAAAAGTCGATAATCTATCGAAAAAGAAAATCTATCTACTTTCAGAAAGTAGATAACCAACTTTCCGGAAAAGTGATATTTCTGTTTTTATGATACAAATTTCCGTTTTACGATAATCTACTTCGCAAAATTAGGCAATATTTCCAAAATTCGAAAAATCTACTCCCCGAAAAGTTGATCTACTACGAAAAGTAGAATTATTCATTTTTCGAAAGTAGATAAACCAACTTCCCGGAAAGTAGATATTTCCCATTTTCTGTGATACAAATTTCTCGTTTTCTATGATAATCTACTTCAGAAAATTAGGTAATATTTCCCCAAAATTCGATAATTTACTTCCCCAGAAAGTCGATAATCTACTTTCCCGAAAAGTAGAAAATCTATCTACTTTTCAGGAAAGTAGATAACCAACTTTCCCGTAAAGTAGATATTTCCCATACAAATTTCCCGTTTTCTATGATAATCTACTTCGCAAAATTAGGTAATATTTCCCCCAAAACTCGAAAATCTACTTCCCCGAAAAGTCGATAATCTACTTTCCCGAAAAGTAGAAAATCTATCTACTTTTCGTGAAAGTAGATAACCAACTTTCCCGGGAAGTAGATATTTCCCATTTTTTATGATACAAATTTCTCGTTTTCTATGACAATCTACTTCGCAAAATTTGGTAATATTTCCCCCAAAATTCGAAAATCTACTACCCCGAAAAGTCGATAGATTTTCTACTTTTCGGGAAAGTAGATAACCAACTTTCCCGGAAAGTAGATATTTCCCAGTTTTTATGATACAAATTTCCCGTTTTCTATGATAATCTACTTCGCAAAATTACGTAATATTTCCCCCAAAATTCGAAAATCTACTTCCCCGAAAAGTCGACAATCTACTTTCCCGAAAAGTAGAAAATCTATCTACTTTTCAGAAAAGTAGATAACCAACTTTCCCGGAAAGTAGATATTTCCCATTTTTTATGATACAAATTTCCCGTTTTCTATGATAATCTACTTCGCAAAATTAGGTAATATTTCCCCCAAAATTCGAAAATCTACTTACCCGAAAAGTCGATAATCTACTTTCCCGAAAAGTAGAAAATCTATCTACTTTTCGGGAAAGTAGATAACCAACTTTCCCGGAAAGTAGATATTTCCCATTTTTTATGATACAAATTTCCCGTTTTCTATGATAATCTACTTCGCAAAATTAGGTAATATTTCCCCCAAAATTCGAAAATCTACTTCCCGAAAAGTCGATAACCAACTTTCCCGAAAAGTAGATATTTCCCATTTTTTATGATACAAATTTCCCGTTTTCTATGATAATCTACTTCGCAAAATTAGGTAATATTTCCCCCAAAATTCGAAAATCTACTTCCCCGAAAAGTCGATAATCTACTTTCCCGAAAAGTAGAAAATCTATCTACTTTTCGGGAAAGTAGATAACCAACTTTCCCGGAAAGTAGATATTTCCCATTTTTTATGATACAAATTTCCCGTTTTCTATGATAATCTACTTCGCAAAATTAGGTAATATTTCCCAAAATTCGAAAATCTACTTCCCCGAAAAGTCGATAATCTACTTTCCCGAAAAGTAGAAAATCTATCTACTTTTCGGGAAAGTAGATAACCAACTTTCCCGGAAAGTAGATATTTCCCATTTTTTATGATACAAATTTCCCGTTTTCTATGATAATCTACTTCGCAAAATTAGGTAATATTTCCCCCAAAATTCGAAAATCTACTTCCCAGAAAAGTCGATAATCTACTTTCCCGAAAAGTAGAAAATCTATCTACTTTTCGGGAAAGTAGATAACCAACTTTCCCGGAAAGTAGATATTTCCCATTTTCTGTGATACAAATTTCCCGTTTTCTATAATAATCTACTTCGGAAAATTAGGTAATATTTCCCCAAAAGCCGATAATCTACTTCCCCAAAAAGTCGATAATCTACTTTTTCGAAAAGTAGATAATCTACTTTTCGGGAAAGTAGATAACCAACTTTCCCGGAAAGTAGATATTTCCCATTTTCTATGATAAAAATTTCCCGTTTTCTATGATAAGTAGATAACCAACTTTCCCAGAAAGTAGATATTTCCCATTTTCTGTGATACAAATTTCCCGTTTTCTATGATAATCTACTTCGGAAAATAAGGAAAAATTTCTCGAAAAGTCGATAATCTACTTCCCCAAAAAGTCGATAATCTACTGTGGGGTTCAGGATATTTGGTTCACATTCAGGATGGGTTGGAGAAAGGAAACTCACAATGTGCTCTCTATATACATGTTGTATTGGATGTACAGTGCAGCTTGGTGCTGGGAAGGCAGCACGGTTACAAGCGTGATGTAGAGAGAGCTGGTTGGTGAGGATGCTCAGAGAAGGACCAGCTTGTGGGTCGCCATGCTCGCCGGCAGGAGCGAGGACCACCAGGCAGGCGGAGGAGGTGTTGCTGGCTGGTTGGTGTAGGTAGAAAAGAGACAGGTCACCACGAAGTCAGGTCTTAAATAGCGGGGGGTAGGCGTGGCTTAGTAGTTGACCCCTGCTCCGTGATGTATGGCGGCGCTGGTTGACCAAGACCACGAGGCATACACTGGGGAATTGGTGGGGTCGGCTACTCAGCGACAAACAGCGTTTGTAGGGGAGAAATCCACTACACTACTTTCCCGAAAAGTAGATAATCTACTTTTCGGGAAACGTTCCCGTTGTTCCTCCTCTCCCCTAACAGTAGGTCCGTTAATTTTAATTTCTTCGACACACTTCTTCAGCGTCCCTAGCTGCTGTAGAACCTGTTCTGATCCTATTTATAATTAGCACTGGCTTGTCACTATCTGCATCTGGTATTTATAAACAGGTGCTGCTAGTAACTATTTGCACCTGTTATTTATAATCATCGTCAGTAATGTATCTGCACTGAGTACTTTCTATCAGCACGTAATATTTATAAGCAGCATCTGCTACTACTGTATCTGCACCTGCTATTTATAATCAACATCTTCCAGATAGTATTTGCACCTGGCTATTAGTATTTGAATTTGAACCTGCTTGTCACAAATTACAAAGTCTAGTACCACAGATAACTATTCTTTATACAGAAACATCGTTCGCGTTTACACGTAGTCACACACACACACACACGTACTGGGGTCGTCTGTTGAATATACAAGCAATGTTTAGGGCGTGCTTATATGCTGGCTGAGTTACTGTTACCACAAAACCTAACACACAACACCTAATTCTGCCTAAGGAGGGCTATATATTTGTATAGGAGGTTCGAATAGTTCCTCTTACAAAAGAAACACTTTGAATAGTTCTGTCAGTCAAGCTCTTAGCTCAGCGTGTGGCAAAGATATGCTCACAAAAAGGCAAAAGCGTCCCCAGCGACCAGCCATTCCTCGTGCCGTTTACCAATTCAGCAAATACAGCCATCTATGTATGTACATACATACTACATACGCCTATTGGTAAGTGCTGAAACAACGGACTATAAAATTGTCTATGTTAAAAACCACCAGAAAACTAAAAAACTAAATAATAATTACCATTCCAAATCTAAACAAATCTACTAATCGATTTTAGCCATATCTATCCAAGCAAACTTTGCCTGACCACATTCAACGTGTAAATCTATTTGAAAATAAGTGAGTTTTTCATTGGTCATTCTGTATTCACACAGTTTTAAAAATAGTTCTTTATCGCAAAGTTACCCTTATATTGTAAAAGTCACACTCGAGCAACTTTGTATAAATTGCAATTAGGAGCAAGTCTAGCCGAGATGGAGCAAACAACAGTCGGAATGTCCTTCACGGACACCCTCCAGAACAATTGGTGGTGGTGGGGCGGGGGGGGGGGTGGGGGTACGTGCTTAGTTTGGTCAAAACTGACTTAAAAGTATTGAAGGCGTTAAACAACTATAATTACTAAGGGATAGCTCTAAGTAGAGAGTTGCTAGCTGTACAATAAGGACCCAACGTGTTCATAAACTAGTTTAATATTTTAATTTTTTTTTAGTTCTAGACTTCTAGTGCTGTACTTATATACATTTCTACCGGTAACTGTATATGGCAACATATGACAGTGTGTTCACAGTCGGCGACGCAGTGAGAAGCAGCCAAAACCTGACCTGCCTGTCAATATGTTAAACATTCGCATTCTTCAATGTGCCGCCGATTACGAAGCCACTGCCAAGATATTTTTAAACTATAAATTGACATACTTTCCATATACAGTAATATCTCCACATTTCAGGGGTAGGCAGTCGGTACCAGTGAGGTAGGCGAGACACAAGAAGTAAAAAAAAAATAAATAAAAAAAAAGTTCTTAGCAGCTACTTGGATAGAGTAATATATTTATCTATGCTATTTAGTTAATTTTTACTAAAGAGTCAGGAATCGGGACATCTGTGTTCAAAGAAATCTGTATTGCTGGCATGGAAGCCGATGAAAGACTACGTTCCACGAGAATATCTTATTTCCCTTGGAAAAACATTCTCACAAATGACTGCTGCGCCTCGGGTTCTCCGAATGCGGCTAAAATGTTATTATATTCCTCACATACATGTTTTACCATTGTGAAAAGAATAGTGACTTCTCTCCTGAAGTCCTCTCCATAGGACAGGACATGAAAGCCACACTGATGCCAAACACTATTCTGTACTCACGTCGTCCGCGAAGATCAAACTGAAAGGAAAGAGAAAATAAAATTATTAGTTTGAATCAAGACCAGTGAAACTACTGTCAACTGTGACTTGTTCTTATGTCAGGCAGCCGAGACGCCATTGTGTGAAATGATGGGGTCCAACGGGAGCCCCTGACTACAGTATTATGGTTACCTGTGACACACACACACAATCATGTTGGTAATCACTCCACATAATCTTTGAATAAAAATAAAAGTTAGCAGCAGCTTCATGTTTTAGCCTGACAGTCTCTTAAATTTGAAAGCTGAAGTTCAAGGCTTTACCTTCATCTATGCATTTGTAAGTGCTATAATCTGTAGGGTTGGAGAAAAAATAAATAAAATTACCAATTACTTGACAACGAACGTATAGGTCACTCATTTATTGTCCAACCTTACACACCAATGCAATTTGTCGGCAAATTTGCCAAGATAATGTAATCTTACTAGCGTGCTTGTAAAAAAAAAAAAAAAACATTCGCATTAAGCATATACTGTATATCATTGGACACCTTTTAAAGATACTTCAAAAACACAGTAGCAATAGTACGGAAATTATATCTTGTAATAATCAATTGTTGATGGAGGAGTTTAATTGCTAGCCTTATGACAACCTTAGTTGTTGAAGCGCAGTAATAATATTATAACATGAAAAACACACAAACAAAGAAATGAACCTGTGTTGTTCATTTACAAGAAACTTCAAAGATGGGAAATAGGGAAGTTGCACCAGTGTGCCAAGAACAACAACAGGTGGGGCCGCAGCGGAGAGCAGCCAGAGTGGGTACTGTACGAGGCAGTGGGGGTTCTGCGGCCGAGTCATTCTAAAGCTGCTGCAGGCACTAGGTCAAGGCTAGACAGATGAAACTCGCCTTACCGACGTGCTGGAGCTGTCCTGGTGGCATTAAAAGACGCTTTAATGTGCTGGTGACGCTCACTACAAGGTCACTAGGCACAGGGTTCCCCTGGTGAGGACATGGCCCAGTGCTCAAGGTAACAAGTATATACAACGTAAGTACCCTGTAGTGCATTACAGTCTTAACAAAGAATTAGTGCGTTGTACATAGCCTTTACAGACAAATTACCAGTTGAATCTAACTTATCGTAAATTTATAATTATGATACTGTAATAGTACTAAGGAAGATTCTTAAGCTAGTGATTCTTTGTTCATGTTGATCTTTGGGCTAAGATATTGTTAATTTTGATTAATTGTGGATTTTGTCCAATGTCGTATAGAGGAACAGACATAAGGAATTGCTGTAGAAATTGTGAGGGAGACTAGAAACAACGAGTGTCGAACATTTCCACCCGCCACTCTCCAGGCCGCCCGCCACCCAACCCAAGGTTAGCATGTACACTACAGTCAGTGGGCGATGCTACACACCCACGACCCTTATACCAATCTCCCACACCCTAACCTCTTTTCTCTCTACCCTCTCCCACAGCAGCAGGCTTCATCTCTAACCTAAGCAATACTAAATGCTTCCTATAACCCTTCCGATTTTATGATACATATTGCGCTTTTATGCTTGCATTTATTTCGTTACTTCCTTAAGAAGGTAAGCCTATTAGTGTTTAAATACAGCCTGAGCCAAAAACAGATTTTAGTTAGCAACATCAAAGAGTGGGCCTCGTACCAGAATTACTTATAAATTATTGTGTATAAGCAGGTGGTGACTTCCTGTCGTATGGAATGTTCATTCAAGGTACCCAGAGAGATTGGAGCACCAGCAACTACCTAGCTTATACTACAGACGGGCGAGGGGCAACCTAATCGAAGTGTATAAACATCTCAGAGCACACTACTCGGTCAAATGTACAGTCGGGGTCAAAGGACTTGAACACTTGACAGTATTTGGCATGTAAGTACCCGAAGATCTTAAGTATTAGGGAAAGTTTTATCCCATTTTGTGGTTCAGGCATAATATATGATGACAAGTAGTATTATTAGTATATCCCAATCATATATGTATAACTCAGAAGTAGATGTCAGATATTGCTAAGTGTTCAAGACTTTTGACCCCGACTGTACATACCTGGAGCTGGCAGACGTCCGCCCCACAAGGGGTCACAGCTCAAGGTTGAAGAAGTCACAAGTCCAGAAAACTGTGAGGGCAAATTTTTTCGGAGTGAGAATTGTGAACTCTTGGAACAATCTGCCGGGGAGCATTGTGACGGCTTCGAGTGTGAGCTCATTCAAGGCCAGACTACCAACACTGGAGCAGGTTCCGATATATTCAGGAACCAGTGCATGCACAGTATCTGCCAACAGTGCGTAACAGAGGCGTGGCCGACCGCCCAAGCGGCTAACGAGCCGATCAGTGGCGAAGAGGATAAAAGTAAGTAAAAAGAAATAGTGCTGAAGGGCATTAACCGCAAGGGAGAATCCAAGGTGGGGGGAGGGGGCTGTCCGGACCCCCTTTTCATCAGAAAATTGCAATACTTTTTCTTTAATGCAGTATTGTACTCAGGCGTTTTTGTATAGTAGAAAGCCATTACTATTGACCTCAGAATATCTCCTAATATTAAGTGCACATGGCTTCAATATATTTATATATATATATATATATATATATATATATATATATATATATATATATATATATATATATATATATATATCCTGCCCTATATACCCCATCGCTGCACTGCCCTACCCACTACCTCTCACTACCTCCTTAAATTTGTCTCCACTATCCCCTAGTTTAAGGAATACTTTATCCAATAAATATTACCTGTTTTTTTTTTATCAACACAAGCATCTGTTGCGCGTACTGAAGTGCTCTATTGTTTTGAGGTGGCGATATGCACTGGTCAGTCATCTTGTCGATGAGACGGGACAAAAAAAAAAAGTAAAATTCAGGTGACCGTAGACTGGTGGATCGCTGTGTTTGCACCCTGGCCGTCACCATGCAATGTGCATGTGCAACCAATGAATAAATATTCATCCTGAATGGCTTAATTTCTAGGTGTAATTATATTATGTAAATGCGTGAAAAGGACATATTGCTCACCTTTCGCGATAGATGTGTACTTTTCTTCCTCAGATATTCATGCTGACCATAAATATGCATATTTTTATTAAATTACACGAGTATCTGTTGACAACCGTTGACGCCATGGCGCGAACGTACAGATGGTAAGTTTATGGAGAGGTTGATGGCGGGGTCTAGCCAAGGTCTGAGAGGTCGGTGAAAATGAACACTGTAAACTCCCCGTCACGGCGGCGCCATTTCCACACCCTCATCTCCCCGCTGCGGCGCCACGTTTCCTTTGCCATTTTCTTCGAACATGTAAGCTGTGATAACCTCTGAGTGGAGACAAGGCTCACACTGGGAGTTTTCTGTTGCTATCTGGGTAATCCAGGACGTCGGTCACGAGTTACTATCCTAAGAATGCATTCCAATATGTTTATAGGTCTGGTGCGCGAAGTAATATTGATAAAATATTTAAATAATGCAAATTTTTTAAGATTGTATTTACCCGACTACGTGATGGTGTGTGGCTGATCTATTCCACTGAAGTGAGGCAATGTGTCAGAAATATTCGGATTATGCGTTTATGAGTAAATTTATCCGGCCACGAGATAGTATTTGTTTGAAATACTCTAGAATAGTATACAATTGTGTTTGTGTCTGCCTCCGTGACGGTATTATATACCACTGAAATGTTGAGAGTTTTTGTAAAGATACTAGGATAAGTGAGTTTGAAATGTAAGAGTGTACTTATGTAGGTAAGAGTGAACATGGACGATACGTACAGTTACCAGCAAAAGTCCTCCCACAAACTTGCTACACAGGGCTGTGGGAGTACTTTTGCTGGCAACTGTACATACAGTATGTGTAAACGAGTGCGTTGCCTGTGTGAACACAGTAATGTAGATTAACGCCAATGACGTAAATGCTTATATATTTATCCACAAGCTTATGGGTTCGACAGTAAAACTAAGAAATAAGTAAATAGATGCTTACTGTCACGCTTGGACATATACACATAAAAAGTATCCACTTCCAATAAAACAGCCAACAACCGGTAATACCCACCACTACAAACAAAACGCTCCCAAATACCCACACATATATACCCATCACCAACATATACACACATGCACACCCCACCACCAACAAAATACACACCTGCACACCCACCACTACCCACACGCACCCACCACTACCAACAAAACACCTACCACCCCCACAAAACACACACACACTCTCTCTCTCTCGAACAATCACCTACACCTAACTCAACAACAAGCTCAAAATAACACCATTGAGTGGAGTATAAACATTTGAACATCAACTGATACCACCGAGACAAAGTCGTGTGTAAATACAGTGAGAGCAAGTGAGGAAGGAGTATTTGGAGGCGATGTAGTGAAGCGGTGATCGTGGTGTCTCGTTTGGTGTACAGGGTTGATTTCCATTCTTGAGAGGCGACGTGGCCAGTCTCTCCCTCTCGTGTCGTGGGTCCCTCAGCCCTAAATTTCTGCTTATCTGCGACCCACTATAACCAGTTCTCCCATGTACCCCCACACCCAGCCTACAACCAGTTCTACCATGTACCCCCACACCCAGCCTACAACCAGTTCTACCATGTACCCCCACACCCAGCCTACAACCAGTTCCTACCACAGCCCCCACACCCAGCTTCCACAAACCAGTTCTACCATGTATCCCCACACCCAGCCCACAAACCAACAGCCTCTGTACCATGCACCCCACACCCAGCCTACAACCAGTTCTCTACCATGCATCCCCACACCCAGCCTAAACCAGTTCTACCATGGTAACTCCACACCCAGCCTACAACCAGCTCCACCATGTACCCCCACACCCAGCCTCACAACCAGTTCCCACCTATGTATCCCACACCCAGCCTACAACCAGTCTCTGCATCATGCACCCTCACACCCAGCCCACAAACCAGTTCCCACCATGTATCCCCACACCCAGCCCACAACCACAGTTCCCACCATGTACCCACACCCAGCCTACAAACCAAGTTCTCCATACCCCACACCCAGCCTCCACAACCAGTTCTACCACAAATTCTCACACACCCAGCCCACAAACTAGTTCTACCATGTATCCCCACACCCAGCCTACAACCAGTTCTCTACCATGTTCCCCACACCCAGCCTACAACCAGTTCTACACCCCACACCCAGCCCACAAACCAGTTCTACAACCCCACCCGCCCACAACCAGTCTCTCAACACATGCACCTCACACCCGCCTCCACAAACCAACCCATGCAACCCCACCCATTCACAACCAGTTCACCATGCACCCCACACCCAGCCTACAACCAGGTTCACCCACATGCACCCCACACCACAACCAGTTCCTCCACAAATTCCCCACACCAGCCCCCACACCCAGCCTACAACCAGTTCTACCATGTACTCCACACTCAGCCTACAACCAGTTCTACCATGTACCCCCACACCCAGCCTACAACCAGTTCTCCCATGTACCCCCACACCCAGCCTACAACCAGTTCTACCATGTACTCCACACTCAGCCTACAACCAGTTCTACCATGTACCCCCACACCCAGCCTACAACCAGTTCTCCCATGGACCCAGCCATAATGAGTAAGAGACCCCACCCCACCCATAACTATAGTTCTACCAAACACCGCCCTCCCTCACCTACCCATAACCGTTTGCGCTGTAGTACACCTCCTGCAGGCGATCTAAGAAGATGGTAGACACTACATATATTTCGAAAAAGTGCAATCGTTTTGTTGCTGCCAAATATTTCGTGGTTAAAAACCCTGAGACAACAATGAAGGAAATCCGTGATGTAGTGCGTATCAGTTCAATAAAGCTGAATGACTGAAGTAGGGAAAATGTGTTTACTACATGGCTAAACATGTGTCTTATAAAAAGCATGGTTGTGAGGGAAGCAGACAAACAGGAAGCTTGAGGGAAGGGATAACGGGTAGCGGATGGTGAGTCACGGGAGGCGAGAGATTATGGTGGGAGCGTTGCCACCAGGACATACATGGAGATTTAAACGATACCTTATGAAACCATCCTGGGGAGGCGAAGCAACCTTAAGACTCTCCTAGATAGAAGCCTTACCAGACGCGCCGACCACAGAAGAATGTATGACGAAAGGGGTAAGGTTTCAGACGTGAAAATAGGATTTTACGGTCGAAGAAATGGACGTAAGGGTTTGGGTGTACTACAATTTATGACCCGACAGTAGAGCTTTAAAAGACTTAGGATATCCAGGTGCTTGTATGTTGCCATTTTCCACATCACATGCTTGATCTTAAACGCAGAGCACACAGGGATTTTTGGGTTTACGCAATAAAAGTTGAGTGGTGATGGATTTTAGCGTAAAGACAGTTAAGTGGACTGAAGAAATGGCTGCTGAGATTCACTGTTTCGAAGTGTAAGAGGATGCACCTGGGGCGTACCAACGGTAAGGAGGCGTATCATATGTCCCAACGGGATGAAGAAATTGCACTATTTGAGACTGAATGTGAGAAAGACCTGGGTGTGTATGTTGACAATGAGCTGAAGTTCTCGGGCCATTGCAAAAAGAAGGTAAATCGGGCAAATAAATTATTGGGTCTTATAAGGTCGTTCAGATATCTAGACGGTCCGTCCCTCGTAACGATCTTTAAGAGTGAAGTGCTTCCCCATCTAGAGTACTGTCACCCCGTCTGGTCCCCGAGATATACTAGGGACTGTCAGTTAGTTGAAAATGTTCAAAGGAGGGCCACCAGACTGGTGCCTGCACTTCGGCACCTCAACTACCTTGAGAGATTGGAGCGCCTGAACTTGCCTAGCTTATTCTACAGACGGGCAAGGGCCGACCTAATTGAGGTATATAAGCATCTCAAGGGGCACTACTCAGTCGAGTGTCCCCTTTTTTTACGGGGATTAGCCCACCTGGGCACAGGTCACTGACCCACATCGGGGACTGGGGGCGAAAATGTAATAATTATTCATTGTAAATAAAATTTATGATAAAAGTAAAATAAAATAATGATGATGATGATGATGATGATGATGATGATGATAATAAAGAACTATAAAGAAATACAAAATTAAAAAAAAATAATGTGAAACGCTATATGTATGTTGTGTTGTCCAGTAAGAGAAACAATTGAGACCTGCTATTGTGTGTAAATGAGGCAGAAAGACAGATCAGCAACCTGGGACTTGGTCACAATTTTTGTGATGCCATATGGCAGCAGGGTCTACCATTAGACAACACATTATGCTTCCAATATCTTCCCAGGCGGTAGTACCTCTCTGTTTGGTAGTTGCCTACTACCTACTTGGAGCTGGCGGACGCTCGCCCCACAAAAGATCACAGCTAAAGATTGAAGAAGCCGCAGGTCCAGAAAACTGTGAGGGCAAACTTTTTCGGAGTGAAAGCTGTGAGCTCTTGGAACAATCTAACAAAAAGTGTTGTGACGGCACCGAGTGTGAGCTCTTTCAAGATCAGTCTTGACCAACACTGGAGCAGGTTCAGGTACATTTAGGAGCCGGTGCATGCCCAGTACTTGCCAACAGAGACGTAACCGATCGCCCAAGCGACTAACGAGTCGATCAGTGGTGAAGAGGATAAAAGAAAGAAAAAAAGTACAAAAACAAGGCGCGTTTGACTTGTAATCACGGTTTCTTTACTTAGCGAAACTGGGGCAAGAAGGCACAGCGTTTCTTCCCTAGTTCACGAATTTCAATTTTAATTTATAGAAAGCTTGAAACTTCATTGTTATTATGAATAGCGTATCGTTGTGTGATGAAAGGTTGCAGAAACAGGACGAAGGCAGCTTCAGGACTTACATCCCATAGCATATAGCTCTACATCCAGACGAAGGGAAAATTGGCAAAGGCATATTGCTGAAAGAACTACAATCCTTCTATCTCATCAGATGTTAAGAGTCTGTTGCAATCATTTCGTTTTAGGAAGAGCTACTTTTTATGGGCGGGCCGCAACCAAGGGCGAAGCTTACGAGGCTAAATATATTATAAGCAGCGATTTGGGGTATATGGAAAGTTGCTACAGGAGCTTATAGGGGTGCTGAGTACAATGGTGACATCCAATATTTTGTAGCAAATGCGAAATAATGTAGCCTAACAGGCAGGTAAATTTCCAACAAGTCACAGAAACACACTTGTGAACTGTAGCCTCCTTTAAAAATCACTAAATCTTCACAAAATTGTTCACAGGGTATATGTTCTTACAATGGGACTGCTCACTTAAAATGTGTACAGCCAGCACACTATCAGTGTATAATTCTGCGTCGGTACCGAAGTGACTTTCGATTATTTGTACTTTATTCTTGATCAGAATGTTATAAATAGTCTGAAAGAAAGCACACTGTGAGTAATACAGAATTAGTAAAGACAAAGTTATATGTATTTAAAGTGACAATAAATAATTTAAGTGACTATAAAAAAATAGTGTTGTTGACGAAATCAACAGCTGATAATATAAAAATGATCGTTCCATTCTAAATTACTAAACATTTATCAAATATATACCAATTTTTCATTCATAACAGTTTTGGGCTCCTTGTATACAATTATGGGCCTGCAAAAGCTTCATTCTAGCCCCATAAGTTTCCCTGTACAGGGCCTGTAATTACCATTTATAGCAAGGGTCAGGTAACAGATATCATAAATTCATTTTACCTACGTTTGCTTGACTTGATAACGAAGAAATTTGTAGAACAAAATCTTTGGTCAGCAGGGTGGCAGTGTCACACAAAAAATTACTTAGTATCTGATGATATTATTTACACCTGTGAATGTGAAATGCTCTGGTATTACCAAAGACTCTCTTTGGTATTACTGTACTCAGTACTCACCGCTGTCGCTGACGCAACTGCCAGATACACGATGATAAGCCGCATCTGCAGAGAAGAGAATTGCAAATTAGGAATTATTTCCGTCGTGATGATAGCCATATTATTAAAAAAAAGTTGCAAATGTATTGCGCACTGCAGGGCTTGACGAGGAGGTGTGGCGGTAAAAAGAACTAATAAATATTTGAATTTACAGGGGTGGCAAGTAGCTCCTCGTCGTCAACCTGATCAGGTAATTTTACAAACCAGTTATTGTTTAACAATATTGTTGTTTTTTATGGTCAATATTATGAAATTTATCAGAAACTTGTGCCGTGTCTATCTTCAAGGACATTTCAGCTACTGGGGACATCTCAATCTCATTTTACAAACGCTTTTTGTGAGTGAGTTTTCGTCTGAAAAGCATTAGTTGGAGAGTTTCTGGGCTAGAATTAAAAAAATGGACAAAGCCAATATCCACTGGGAAGGTAACTTTAATGAAATTTTCGCGACTTTCATTAATAAAGTAAGAACATATAAGGTAATTTATTCAACTTCTTAGTTGTTTTGTTTTTACCCGACTCACGTGTTTGCTTGCGCCGGCGTTTATAAACAAATGCTCCTCCAGCTGCGTCCTTGCATACCAACCATACGAGTAAGAATAACCATAATGCATTAACGAAGGGGACAGACTCACCCAAGGTAAATAAACTCAAGTGTTTATACTTTGGGCTTAATAATCCTACCCTCGACGGCCCCACACGAAGTCCTTCACCAGTGATGTGTCGGTAAGTATAATTACCTCGTAGACTTTTCCATCTGTAATGTGGGCTGATATGCGATATTGACTGAGGTAGTGTAATGAAACATTTCTTGGGTTATGATTTATTAAGATAATATTGTTACCCTAATTAATTAGAGTGGATTTTGCATTGCTCTTGTTCTGCCAGGAGCTGTCAAAGTCAGAAGCAGGTGAAGGAGATGGCTGGGATGGTTACCTTTTGCGACCGCCAAGTCCGCCACTACCTCCCCCCTTCATGACGTCATGCCACTGTCTTACTCAGAATAATGACTCAAATCACGAGATTTTTCTTGACTTCTTTTCATCCATTACTCTCATGTTGAAGTTTTTCTATATCTCTTTGGCATCTAATGCCCGTAATTAAGTCGTAATTATTTCGCTGGTTAGTTCACAAGGGGGTTTCTAGTTCGTGGGATGTACTGTACGTACAAATGAATATGGCACCTTCTACATATTGTTATGCAGAGGCATAATTTGGTATAATGTTTGAAAACTAGTGTTTGGATTATTTTCTGAATAGGTCTCTTGATTTACAAATGATATACAAGTAACATGGTTGGGACTGGGCTGTTCTTATAGCAATCAGTTCGTGCTCCTATGGGCTGGATGCGGTTGGGCAGGTGTGTGCCCACATGGCCAGGACAGTAGCTTGGGGCAATGCAGGTGTGCTCCATCCTTCAGGTTAGGTCAGGTCAGGTGAAGCCGTGAGGTCAGGTTAGGTCAGATCCAGGTCAGGTTAGGTCAGATCCAGTCACTCTCAGTGTTACACTGCTGTGTTTTTGTGCTTTTCCTTGGAGTGCACTATAGGAACACTGTTTGGTAGTCAATCGTTCACTGATCACTTGAATGTTTTGCTGAATAAATCCCGGTGTAGTAAGGCTGGTAGGGCGTAGCAGGGGGAGGGGGGCAAACAGACTCGGCCTGGCTGCTCAGACAGGGAACGTCTTGTTTTGCTGGTGGTTGACAAGGGTGTAAGATTTTTGTTTTTTAGTGTATTGCATCATTTTTTTTATTTACTTCTTATTGTATGCTTATATCATTCTAGAATTCTCCAGGCGTGTCTCCAGCCGACCTCCAGCATCTGGACATCGCTAGAATGCTCTAGAACATAAGAAAATAAGGAGTCTGCAATAGGCCGGTTGGCCTGTGCATGGCAGCTCCTGTCGAGAGTTACTACCACTCTCTATCATCCATGAATCTATCCAGCCTCCCTTTGAAACTTTCCAGCGTTCCAGCACTTACTACAAAGTTGCTAAGCTGGTTCCACTCGTCCACCACCCTATTTGTAAACCAGTTCCTTCCTATCTCCCTCCTAAACCTAAACTTATCCAACTTGAATCCGTTGTTCCGAGTCCTATCCTGCTCGGATATTATAAGAACTTTATCTATATCACCTTTATTGATTCCTTTCACCCACTTGAATACTTCTATCAAATCTCCCCGCACTCTTCGTCTTTCTAGGGAATGCAAGTTTAGTTTCTTTAACCTATCCTGATATGGAAGGTTTCTAAGTCCCGGAATCATTTTCGTCATTCTTCGCTGCACCGACTCTAGTGAATTTATATCCATTCTATAATAAGGGCACCAGAACTGAACCGCATAATCGAGGTGCGGCCTGACTAGCGCAAGATATAGTTGCAATAAGACCTCTGCACTCTTATTACTTACACTTCTAGATATAAAACCCAATACTCTGTTTGCCTTATTTCGAACATTAACGCACTGTTTTCTAGGCCGTAGGTCCGGGCTTACAAGTACCCCTAGGTCTCTTTCACAAGTATTTGTTCTTCCAATATTAAGTACGCTGCACTTGCTGATGATGAATTTCATTTGCCATTTTTCAGACCACCCTTGCAGTATATTTAGATCCTCCTGTAATGCATTTGCATCCTGCCCTGAATTAATCTGCCGCCCTATTTTGGTGTCATCCGCAAACTTGCTTATGTCACTGCAAACTAAGGTCTTTACGGGCGTAACAAGGTTAGCAATTACACTATTCCATCAACAATTAAAAAACATGATAAAACTCGAGCGTAATTTTTGAGGACGACGATGAATATACGTTCATAGACTTTTGTTATCCTCAGAGCTCTATTATATTTGGGTACTTAACATATGCCGTTTTTATTCACATTGTATTTTAGTGTAGTTGAATTCTCAACAAAACCAATTAATACTATGGGAATTCATATTTTATCATTTAATCGCACTGTTAAATGTGTGCAGTGTGTGTGTGGGTGGGCGGCTCCCGGACACGGTGCGTGACTGATCATGTCCCCGACCAATCCCTCCCAGCTTACACAGCCATCCCCCCCTACCCCACCAATTGCACCGTTCCTCCCGGTCCCCAGTGCGTCACCTGCCCCTCCCTCCATTCTCCTCTTACCACTCCCTTCTCTTTAATTTATCATCTCTGTACCCGCCTTTAATCTTCGTCTCACATTTTTATTTTATCATCCCTCCCGTGCTTCCCTTGATCACCGTTGTTTCAAGGTCTCGGGCATTATTAATATTCTCATAACACTTCAGAGCATGGCTTTCTTGGACTCGAGCTGAGAGAAGTTCAACGCGTCAAGGAATGAGGCCAAGGAACACAACAAGGGAGGGAGTAATCAAGCTAAAAACAATAGTCTTCTATTCTTGGGAGTAATGACCCCTGACTGGTGCTAAGTGGACGTGTCTAATTAAGAACCTTACAGTGCTTCTGGTACGTCTGTGGGTTTTTTTTAACTAATCCAATCAACAGCCTCGAGGAAAATTCACCTTACTACTCTTTCAGAATGCGCGCACAGATTCTAGCCCAACTAGCAGTAATCGGTAAAGTATAATTACGTTACGCTTGTCGTTGTTATAGTTTTTATAA